CATCCTCACCAAAAAAAAAGAATTTTAAAAAAAATTTTAAATTAAAAATTAAATTAAAAATTAAATTAAAAATAAATTTTTAAATTAAAGGAAATTAAAAATTTAAAATAAAAATTAAAAAATCCCTAAAAATAATTAAAAAACCAAACCAACAATTAAAAAATTTAAACTATTAAACATCCATCCCCCCATCCATCCCTCCATCCATCATCCACCCTCCTTTTAACCCCCCCCTCCATCTATCCATTTCCTCCATCCATCCCTCCCCTTCCCCTCATCCTCCATTCCATCATCCCCTTCCCTCCATCATCCAACCATCCATCCATCCATCCATCCATCCATCATCCATCCAACCAACATCCATTTTATCCATCATCCATCCCTCCATCCAAACACCATCTATCCATCCATCCATCATCCACCCTCTATCCATCCATCCCAAACCATCCATCATCCCATCCCTCCATCAAACCATCCATCATCCATCCCCCCCAAACCAACAATTTCCCTCCAACATCCATCATCCATCCATTTTCCATCCATCATCCAACCATCCCTTTTATCATCCATACCATCCCCTATCCACCAACCCCAAACCCTCATCCAACCACCAACAACCATCCATCAACCCTCAAACCCTCCAATTTCCTTTCCCTCAACCTCCTTTATTCCATCCATCCATCCCTCCAACCATCCCCCCCATCCAACCATCACCATCCAACACCCAACCATCCATCCCCTCCCATCCCTACCAAACCCCTCAACAAACCATCCCTCCATCCATCCCATCCCCCCATTCCCCTCCATCCTCCATCCAAAAAAACCATCCATCATCCATCATCCCTCCATCCCCCATCCATCCAACCATCCTCATCCATTTCCTCATCCACCATTCATCATCCCCTCCATCATCCATCCAAAAAATCCACCCACCAAACCTTTATCCATCCATCCCTCCAACCAACCATCCATCCATCCATCATCCATCCCCTCAATCCCCTCACCATCCAAAACCCCTTCCCTCCAACCATCATTCCATCATCCCCCTTCCATTCCATCAAACCATTCCCCTCAACCATCCCCTCCACAACCCCTCCATCCAACAATCCAACATCCATCATCCATCCATTTCCCTCATCCATCTATCCATCAACCATCCAAACCAGCCAACATCCATCCTCCATCATCCATTATCCCCTCATCCATCCCTCCATCCATCCAATCCCTTTATCCATCCATCCCCTCTAACCAACATCCATCCATCATCCCCCCCCCTCCATCCATCATCCATCCATCCATCCATCCCCCTCAACCATCCAACCCTCCATCCACCATCCATTTTCCAACCCTTCCATCCTCCATTCCCCTCCATCCCCCAACTAACCATTTATCCAAACCAACCATCTATTTCCCTCAAAACCCCCTCCGTTCCCCCTAAAACCAAACATCCATCCACCCTCCATCCAAACTAAACCAATCATCCATCCGTCCCCTTTTATCCATCATCCTCCCATCCATCCATCCATCCTCAACCAACCATCCATCTATCCATCATCCATCCATCCCCTTTCCCTCCCTCACCATCCATCCCCCCATCCAACATCCTTCCATCCATCCATATCCATGCCCCATCATCCAAACCAAAACCATCTAAACTAACAACCCCTCCCTCCATCCATCATCCAAAACCATCATCCCCCCATCCCCATCAACCATCCATTTCCCCTATCCATCATCCAACATTTCCCCCCCCTCCTTCCCCTCAACCATCCATCCATCCATCTAACCCTTCATCCAACATCCATCCATTCCCCTCATCCACCAACCATCTTCCATCCATCATCCATCCATCATCCATCCTCCATCCATCCATCCCCTCCAACATCCATCCCTCCATCATCCCATTTTATCCAACATCCAACCAACCCCTTCCCCCATCCCCTCTAACCATCCCCCCCCAAACATCCATCCAACTAAACCTTTCCCTTTCCCTCCATCCCATCCCCTCCATCCCTCCATCATCCATCCATCCAACCATCATCCATCCCAAACATCCATCCATCAAAACCATCCATCCATCTATCATCCACCCCCCATCATCCCCAACCATTCCTTTATCCATCCATCCATCATTTCCTCCAAAATCCATCATCCAAACCATCCCTCCCTCATCCCCTCCATTCATCCCCCCCAATCCCTCCATCCATCCATCCAACCTCCATCCATCCCTGCCTCCAATTTCCCAAAATCCATCCCTCCAAACCCCCCACCATCCAACAACAATTTCCCCAACCCCTTCCATCCATCCATTTATCCATCCATCATCCAACCCTCCCATCCATCACCAAATCTCCCCCATCCATTCCCCCTCCTCCATCCATCAATTTTATCCATTCCCCCAACCATCCATCATCCATCCATCCATTTCCCCCCTCCATCCAACATCCATTTTCCCTCCCCTCCATCCCCTCCATCAACCAAAAAATAACCAACAACCAACCATCAATCCCCCCAATCCCCCCCATCATATTTCCCTCATCCAACCATCCAACAACCATCCATCATCCATCCATCCAACAATCCATCAACCATCATCCCCTCCATCCCCTCATCCATCATACCCCTCATCCATCCAACCATTTTCCCTCATCCAAATTTCCCTTTAACCCTCCCCAACCATCCATCCCATCCCATCCATCCAATCCATCCACCCTCCAAACCATCCATCCTCCATCCCCTTCCAAACCCTCCCTCCAACCCAACCTCCCATTTTCCAAAAAAACAAAAAGGGGAAAACAAACCATCCCCTCCCTTCCATCATCCCCTCCAACCATCCCTCCACCCATCCAAACCCCTTCCCTCCATCCATCAATCCTTCCCTCCATCCATCAATCCATCATCCATCCATTCCCCTCAACCATCCATCCATCCAACCCCCAACCATCATCCATTTCCCTCCATCATCCCCCCATCCATCAACCATCAGTCCCCACCCTTACCATCCACCTATCCATCCATCATCCATCCACCCATCAATCCATCCCCCCACCATCCCTTTCCCTCCAACCATCCCAACCATCATCCAACCCCATCCATTCATCATTTCCCTCCATCCTCCATTTCCCTCCATCCACCCATCCATCCCCATCCAACCAACCACCCCTCCATCCCCCCATTTCCCCAATCCATCAACCCTTTTCCCTCCAACCCAACCATTTCCCTCCATTTTCCCCCCATCCATCATCCAACCCACCCCTCCATCCACCCATTTCCCCAAAATCCAACCCTCCATCCATTCCCTCCCATCCAAACCATCCAACCATTTCCCTCCATCCATTTCCCTCCATCCATCAATCCACATCCCCTCCATCAATACATCAAACCAAACCATCCCCTCATCCATCCCTCCAACATCCAATCCATCATCCATCCAAACCATCCATCCACATTTCCCCTTCCAAAAAAACCATCCATCCAACATCCATCCATCCATCATCCATCCAATTCCATCCCATCTCCAAATATCCATGGGCCCTCAACCATCCATCTATCCATCCATCCATCATCCATCCAACCATCATTCCCCCATCCATCATCCAAACATTCCTCATCCATCCATCCATCCATCCCTTTTCCCTCATCCATCCATCCATCCATCCATCCATCCATCATCCACCCCTCCAACCATCCATGCCATCCATCATCCATCCATCCCATTCCCAAACATCCAAACCATTTTAAACCATCCCCCCCTCGTCCATCAACCATCCAACCATCCATTTTCCCTCCAAACCATCAATTTTATCCCTCCATCCATTCCCTCATCCACCACAATCCATCACCATTCCCCCATCCACCATTTCCCTTCCCCTCCTCAATCCCCTCATCCATCCTCCCTCCCTCCCCTCCATTTTCCCCCCCTCCCTTTCCCTCCATCACCCTCCCTCTTTTCCATCATCCATCAATCCATCATCCATCCATCCCTCCATCCTCCATCTATCCATCCATCCATCCATCATCCACCACCATCCATCCATCAATCCATCACCATCCCTCCATCACCATCCATCCATCATCCATCCATCTATCCCAAAACCCCCAAAACCCCTCATCCATCCATTCCACATCCATCCATCCATCCATCATCCATCCATCTATCCATCCATCCATCCATCCATCCATCCATCCATCAATCCATCATCCATCCATCCATCATCCATCCATCCACCATCCATCAATCCATCATCCATCCATCCATCCATCCATCCATCCATCCATCATCATCCATCCATCCATCCATCATCCATCCATCATCCATCCAGCCATCAATCCATCATCCATCCATCCATCCATCATCCATCCATCCATCATCCATCCATCATCCATCCATCCATCATCCATCCATTCATCATCCATCCATCATCCATCCATCCATCATCCATCCATCCACCCATCCATCCATCCATCCATCCATCATCCATCCATCCTCCATCATCCATCCATCCATCATCCATCCATCATCCATCCATCATTCATCCATCATCCATCCATCCATCATCCATCATCCATCCATCCATCATCCATCCATCCATCATCCATCCATCATCCATCCATCCATCATCCATCCATCCATCATCCATCCATCATCCATCCATCCATCATCCATCCATCCTCCATCATCCATCCATCCATCATCCATCCATCATCCATCCATCATTCATCCATCATCCATCCATCCATCATCCATCCATCCATCATCCATCCATCATCCATCCATCCATCATCCATCCATCCATCATCCATCCATCATCCATCAGGTATTTTCATTTAGTTTTTTCCATCATTCTAGATGATCTGTGGAATTTTCTTTTTTTAACCCGTTTTACTGATAGTTTAGCTTTGATCTTTGACCTTATTTCTATTCCTAGCTCAGTTAGAGGAGCAGCTAAATGTCCTCAGTCTGTTAGAAAGCAGCAGTTCACACACACAGCAGGACTTACTTGTTCCAGGCCTGTCGGAGCTTCTTGGCGCTGTAGACGGTGAAACGATCTGCAACAGAACACAAAGCTGCTCACTACTGATCACAGATCATTGGACCGACCCGCAGAACCAGGACCGCTGCCCTACTTTAAGGTGACCCTAGAAGAAGGAACCTTGGTGCTCCTCTCAGTGCTGATTGAGAGCGACGCTCCTCGGCCACCAGGTCCAAACCAGCGCTGACAGATTCTCAAGGTTCTGTTCGCCGCCCTCATTTGATCTGCAGCAACGTCTGCTATGCTGGGAGGCTCGGCCCGGTTCTGGAGGGCTAGGCCCGGTTCTGGGAGGCTCGGCCCGGTTCTGGAGGGCTAGGCCCGGTTCTAAGAGGCTTGGACCAGCTCTTGGAGGTTCTCACTGTTAGCCTGCAGGCCAGTAGAAGCTTAGCCATACACCAGGAACTGGATCCTCCTCAGCCAGCCGGGCCCATCAGAACCCATCAGAACCCGGTCCATTACCTGCTGTGGTCTCTGCTCCCCAGGCAGCAGAACCCACCAGAACCCAGCAGCTGGTTTGTTGCCATGGTGAGTCATTAAATAACCAGAATCGGGTCGCAGTGACCCGTCCAATCAGGGCAGCCTCAGCCCAACAGGAGCAGAACCTGTCCTACTGGGCTTTCAGTTCCACGGTGCAGCAACGCCGCCCTCTGCTGGTAAGGAGCCTCTCTGCAGCAGGTTACTGCTGCTCCAGCTGAGCAGGTCTAACACAGGCGGTTCTGTTTAGCTGCAACTCTTTGGGTTTTCTCCAGAATCTGGATCAGATGCAGCGGCTCGGTTCTGATGGTCCACTCAGCTTCATGGCCTCCTTCACCTTAAGTCCACTTCTCTCAGCCATCCAAGTAAACCCAGAACCTGGGTTCTGTCTCCCAGTGAGCTGGTGGGCCAGCGGCTGGAGGGAACCAGTCAGCTGGTTCCATTTCTCTGCTCAGTTCCTGCTAAGATTCTGACCTTTATCAGAAGGAAGAACCAGGAGGAACCAAGGAGCCCAGAGGAAAACAGCCAATCATTGAGAGGAGGAATGGATCTAAATCCATCCTTAGCTGCAATAATTCTCCACCGGGTCTCTCAGTCTTTTTCTGGCTAAACGTCTGAAACATCTTCAAGCTGAGATAATATTCTGAAACGTCTCTCTGCAGCAGCTGCTCGGTTAACATGAAATTAATCAGAAATCAGCAGGAAAATCTTCCTTTCCCACATAGATCTGCGGCTGTAGAGCAGGAACCTTTTCCCCGGTTGGAGCGAGCAGAAAATGTCCCACCTGGTTTGAAGTGAGGCAGTGAGTTCACGCCAGGCCACGTTTCCTCTGATGGCGTTCCAAGAACCTGACAGAGACAAGAGCAGAGAAGGAGTCAGCAGAGAGATAAACGCCGTGCTGAGGTGGTCTGCAGACGCCTGGACGCTGATCTGGACTTTCCTGCTGCGTCTCAGAGGAGTTCCTCAGACAGAGGAGGAACCGTGAGGCAGAGGGGGAACCGAGAGGCAGAGGAGGAACCATGAGGCAGAGCTGGAACCGTGAGGCAGAGCGGGAACCGAGAGGCAGAGGAGGAACCGAGAGGCAGAGGAGGAACCGAGAGGCAGAGCGGGAACCGTGAGGCAGAGGAGGAACCGGGAGGCAGAGGAGGAACCGAGAGGCAGAGGAGGAACCGTGAGGCAGAGCGGGAACCGTGAGGCACAGCGGGAACCGTGGGGCAGAGGGGGAACCGTGGGGCAGAGGGGGAACCGTGGGGCAGAGGGGGAACCGTGGGGCAGAGGGGGAACCGTGGGGCAGAGGGGGAACCGTGACGCAGAGCGGGAACCGAGAGGCAGAGCAGGGAACCGAGAGGCAGAGCAGGGAACTGTAAGGCAGAGGGGGAATCGTGAGGCAGAGCAGGGAACCGTAAGGCAGAGGGGGAATCGTGAGGCAGAGCAGGGAACCGTAAGGCAGAGGGGGAACCGTGGGGCAGAGGGGGAACCGTGAGGCAGAGCGGGAACCGAGAGGCAGAGGAGGAACCGTGAGGCAGAGGAGGAACCGAGAGGCAGAGGAGGAACCGAGAGGCAGAGGAGGAACCGAGAGGCAGAGGAGGAACCGTGAGGCAGAGGAGGAACCGAGAGGCAGAGGAGGAACCGTGAGGCAGAGCGGGAACCGTGAGGCACAGCGGGAACCGTGGGGCAGAGGGGGAACCGTGGGGCAGAGGGGGAACCGTGGGGCAGAGGGGGAACCGTGACGCAGAGCGGGAACCGAGAGGCAGAGCAGGGAACCGAGAGGCAGAGCAGGGAACTGTAAGGCAGAGGGGGAATCGTGAGGCAGAGCAGGGAACCGTAAGGCAGAGGGGGAATCGTGAGGCAGAGGGGGAACCGAGAGGCAGAGCAGGGAACCGTAAGGCAGAGGGGGAACTGTGACGCAGAGCGGGAACCGAGAGGCAGAGGAGGAACCGTGAGGCAGAGGGGGAATCGTAAGGCAAAGGGGGAACCGAGAGGCAGAGCAGGGAACCGTAAGGCAGAGGGGGAATCGTAAGGCAGAGGGGGAACCGTGAGGCAGAGCAGGGAACCGTGAGGCAGAGGGGGAACCGTGGGGCAGAGCGGGAACCGAGAGGCAGAGGAGGAACCATGAGGCAGAGCTGGAACCGTGAGGCAGAGCGGGAACCGAGAGGCAGAGGAGGAACCGAGAGGCAGAGGAGGAACCGAGAGGCAGAGCGGGAACCGTGAGGCAGAGGAGGAACCGGGAGGCAGAGGAGGAACCGAGAGGCAGAGGAGGAACCGTGAGGCAGAGCGGGAACCGTGAGGCACAGCGGGAACCGTGGGGCAGAGGGGGAACCGTGGGGCAGAGGGGGAACCGTGGGGCAGAGGGGGAACCGTGACGCAGAGCGGGAACCGAGAGGCAGAGCAGGGAACCGAGAGGCAGAGCAGGGAACTGTAAGGCAGAGGGGGAATCGTGAGGCAGAGCAGGGAACCGTAAGGCAGAGGGGGAATCGTGAGGCAGAGCAGGGAACCGTAAGGCAGAGGGGGAACCGTGGGGCAGAGGGGGAACCGTGAGGCAGAGCGGGAACCGAGAGGCAGAGGAGGAACCGAGAGGCAGAGGAGGAACCGAGAGGCAGAGCGGGAACCGTGAGGCAGAGGAGGAACCGAGAGGCAGAGGAGGAACCGAGAGGCAGAGCGGGAACCGTGAGGCAGAGGAGGAACCGAGAGGCAGAGGAGGAACCGAGAGGCAGAGGAGGAACCGAGAGGCAGAGGAGGAACCGTGAGGCAGAGGAGGAACCGAGAGGCAGAGGAGGAACCGTGAGGCAGAGCGGGAACCGTGAGGCACAGCGGGAACCGTGGGGCAGAGGGGGAACCGTGGGGCAGAGGGGGAACCGTGGGGCAGAGGGGGAACCGTGACGCAGAGCGGGAACCGAGAGGCAGAGCAGGGAACCGAGAGGCAGAGCAGGGAACTGTAAGGCAGAGGGGGAATCGTGAGGCAGAGCAGGGAACCGTAAGGCAGAGGGGGAATCGTGAGGCAGAGGGGGAACCGAGAGGCAGAGCAGGGAACCGTAAGGCAGAGGGGGAACTGTGACGCAGAGCGGGAACCGAGAGGCAGAGGAGGAACCGTGAGGCAGAGGGGGAATCGTAAGGCAAAGGGGGAACCGAGAGGCAGAGCAGGGAACCGTAAGGCAGAGGGGGAATCGTAAGGCAGAGGGGGAACCGTGAGGCAGAGCAGGGAACCGTGAGGCAGAGGGGGAACCGTGGGGCAGAGCGGGAACCATGGGGAGAGCGGGAACCGTGAGGCAGAGCGGGAACCGTGAGGCACAGCGGGAACCGTGGGGCAGAGGGGGAACCGTGTGGCAGAGGGGGAACCGTGGGGCAGAGGGGGAACCGTGACGCAGAGCGGGAACCGAGAGGCAGAGCAGGGAACCGAGAGGCAGAGCAGGGAACTGTAAGGCAGAGGGGGAATCGTGAGGCAGAGGGGGAACCGAGAGGCAGAGCAGGGAACTGTAAGGCAGAGGGGGAACCGTGGGGCAGAGGGGGAACCGTGACGCAGAGCGGGAACCGAGAGGCAGAGCAGGGAACCGAGAGGCAGAGCAGGGAACCGTAAGGCAGAGGGGGAATCGTGAGGCAGAGGGGGAACCGAGAGGCAGAGCAGGGAACCGTAAGGCAGAGGGGGAACCGTGACGCAGAGCGGGAACCGAGAGGCAGAGGAGGAACCGTGAGGCAGAGGGGGAATCGTAAGGCAGAGGGGGAACCGAGAGGCAGAGCGGGAACCGAGAGGCAGAGGAGGAACCGTGAGGCAGAGCAGGGAACCGTGAGGCAGAGGGGGAACCGTGGGGCAGAGCGGGAACCGTGAGGCAGAGCGGGAACCGTGAGGCAGAGCGGGAACCGTGAGGCAGAGGAGGAACCGTGAGGCAGAGCGGGAACCGAGAGGCAGAGCGGGAACCGTGAGGCAGAGCGGGAACCGAAAGGCAGAGCGGGAACCGTGAGGCAGAGCGGGAACCGAGAGGCAGAGCGGGAACCGAGAGGCAGAGCGGGAACCGAGAGTCAGAGGAGGAACCGTGAGGCAGAGCAGACCGGAGAAATTCGTCCAGAACAGAGAGAATACATCCAGATATCTTAGATTCAGAGCAAAGCCTTCAGGTGGGGGGAGTGGGAACTACTGTAGAACTGAAACAGAACCTTATGTTGGCTTTATGAACCAGGCTGTGAGGCCAGAACCAGAACCTCATATTCCTCTGATTTCAGGCAGAAAAGGAAAGTGATCTTCCTTTAATGAAGGAGTCTGGACGTTTGCACCTCCTCCAGGAGGATCTCAGTAACATGTAATGCAGCTGATGAGGACCAGACTGAGCTCTGGTGAGGTTAGTCCTGCCTGCTGCAGCCAGGCTGGCTTTATGAGAGCAGCGGACATGCCTGAGACATGATCCAGCAGCGCCCTGCGGCGTGATGCTTTCCAGATGCCCCTCGCTGCACAGCACAGCAGACTGGATGGAGGAGCAGCAGAGGGAGGCGGAGCCTGATGGTCTGTCTGGGTGAAGCTGGAGGTGGAGCAGCATCTACCATAGATTAACTTTGTTAAAGAGTCCATCTGATCCTGAGACAAAGAGGAATCCACTGGAAACTGGATCCAACTGCAATAAACGCATCCAGCCACCAGAGGGCGGTGTGGACCTACCTGCACAGCATCCCAGCAGCTTTCAGCTGCATCTGGAAGCTCCACTGGTTCCTCTGGGTTCCCCAGAGTCTGAACTAGAGCAGATCTGGAGGTCCATCTATGTCTCCATAGCGTAGCTCTAGGTTCTTGGTTTAGTTTTGGTTTCTCACCATCAGCTTCTCTACTCATTCTAGATCTTAAACACTAGAAGTCCCAAAGATGGGAGTTCCAGGGGCGGCAGGTGGAGTTATCTCCGGGGGGGTCGGGCTATAAAATAAACCAATACTAAGTTATCACACCAGTATATTTATATTAATGCCAACAATAAAAACATTATAAAATACTTTATAAAAACGAACAATCATTTCATGTCCAGGTTTATTTCTGTCCATGAACCTCGTCCTTCTGAGGCTGTGAGGTTAATCTGTGTTTGCTCCAGTATTGATCATGAACCAGTTTAATGATGGAGAAGCTGTCAGTCAGCCTTAGATTTTATTAATATATAAAAACTGTTTATTTTCTGTTTATTTTTATGTAGAAAAAGTAGATATTTTATTATCTTCCATTATTGTTGGTTCTTCTTTTCTACAAAGTGCTTTAAATCAGCTGTTTTTATTCAGGCTGGATCAGATCCTGACCTTTGAACCGCAGGATGAACCTTTTCCTCGCCTCGCTGCGTTACCTTTTTCTGCCCCCCCGCAGAGAACAGCATGAATCTTCATGCACCTCCCAGACTTTGACTAGGCCGTTTAAAAACCGGACTGTAGGAGCTTTCCTTGGTAAATGTGAGGCGGGCCTTTTGGGTCAGCTCCGGTTCTGGTCTGGCTCTGCCTGGTGGGAGAATAATGACCTCTGACCTTAGCTGAGGTCAGGGATGTTCTGGTTGGTCATGTGACCTCCTGGACGGTCAGCATGTCCAGTCTATGGATCTTGGTTCTGCTGAAATGTTCCAGAGCCTTTCTGAGGCCTGGTTCTCCATCTCTAACCTACCTAATGCTGTCAGTAAGGTTCTGCTGAGATAATTCCACAGCAGGTGGAGCTGGATTCATCCCTGAAGACCAGCAGTAGAAGGAAGAACCAGATAGAGATGGGCTTATTTGAATGAGATGGGGTCAAAGGTCATGTAATAATAATAATAATAATAAATGATGACTTTTCTCATTTAGTGGGACTAACGAACCAGATCCTCTGAGAGGCTCAGAGTAGAGCTGCTGCTCCTCCAGAGGAGTCAGCTGAGGAGGATCAGACACCTTTATCTGATGGACGCCTCCCTCTGAGGGGTTCCAGGGACGTCCCACCAGGAGGAGGAGCAGGACACCATGGAGGACCACGTCTCTCTGTTGGCCTGGGAGGGGCAGGAGGAGGAGTCTAGATGACGCTCTGGTTTTCCTGGGAGCTTCTCCTTTTGTCACAGTGGCCCCGCCCCTGAGAGAGGTTTCTCCTGCTGGCTGTGGAGGCCGCTCTGCCTGAGGACCTCCTCCTCCAGCCGGACCTCCAGCGGGCTCCCTTCTCTGACATGAATAAGTCAGACCCTCCATCCATCACATCCGCCTCAATCAGGAGACCAGCAGGACATCAGAGGGCAGGAAGCTCCAGGGATTAATGAGGTCATGGATCAGGTTCTGGTTTAACCCGTTTTAACGAACAGGAAGGAGGAGGAGGAGGAGCATGATGAAGAAGGATTTCCTCTTCATCAGGCTCCTCAAATGAGAGCCAGGAAGGAGCTTTGCTGCAAAAACAACCAGCTGGACTTCTGCTGCAGATGGAGGCTAAAGTCAGCAGCTGACTGCAGCAGGTGGACTAACCACCCTGATGGTCCTTCACTCACCAGGAAGATCCTCTCCAGCTGGTCCTGGATGTCCTTCATTCCAGGAAAAGCAGCCACTCCTTGGATCATCTCGATGAAGATGCAGCCCACCCCCCTGAAAAACAGGAGAACCGGATCAGTGATGCTGCTCTGTTCCCATGACAACCACATCAGACCCTGGTCCGTTTGGAGCCTGCGGCTGAAGGATCGTCCTTCAGGTAGGAGGATCGGAGGTAGAGCACTTTTCTTGAGAAATAATCTAAAGGAGGTCAGACATGCAGAGCATATGAGATGGAGGAACCTTCAGGAAGCGTTTAAGCTCCCTCAGGGTCCAACAGGTGGAGCCATGGGAGCTCCACCTGTTGGACCTCAGGTGGAGCTCAGGATCCAACAGGTGGAGTCTGCGGTTCACTATGTGGAACCACCACTAAGGCCTCCTTGTCCAGAGCAGCTAGTATTTCCTGACCAACTGAACAACTGCATCCTTGGACCAAAGTTTTTAAAGCCCCTGCATCGCTGCAGTGGGTCTCTGACGGCTGCAGGCCATCAGGGCCTGTGCCAATCGGACCTGATGCACGGTGACCACCAAAGTGGACAAAAGGCCACCCAGCTCTGTTGAATGAGCCAAAGGCATGCAGAGCCACATTGTTGGCATGGCCCAGCGCTGCTCCCATGGCTTCAGCATGTGGGACTGAGCCTGCAGGAGGACATGGTTTCTAGACGCGCCATACGAGCTGCAATGTTGCAGACTCAGCACAGAAAATGGTTACCCGACATCTGGGCCTCATCTGGGGAAAGAACCAGGGAGGCCATGCAGTGGTGCACATGTGGTCCAGACAATAAGCCCAGGGGATGCGCATGGACGGCGGTATAAGAAGCGCCAGAGCCTCCCTGCACCTCCTGAGGAGGCTGAGCTCCTCTGCAGTGAGGAGGCTCCTGCTTCCAACCTTCTCTGACTCTGTGGAGGCATCAGCCCTCCTGCTGGGCCCCTGGCAGCGCAGAGCAGGACAGAAAGAGACTGAACTAACTGGAGAGAAAGGCTGTTTCTGTCCTAGGCTGCACTCTGGACTCAGTGGCTGAGAGGAGGGAGCTGTCCAAGCTTCCATCCATCATGGACGCCACCTTCCACCCTCTGCAGCAGACTGGAGAGGAGCTGAGCAGCTCCTTTAGCCAAAGCCTGTTAGTAAACAGGAGCGCTACTGCAGGTCATTCATTCCTGCTGGTACCAGACTCTACAATGAGACACTACAACAGCAATAACTGCTGCAATGGAGAATAATTACTATTTAATAGCCTGTTTCTCTATATCTGACACCCAGTTAAATAAGTATATATATAAATACTCATGTTAATGTGAATAACCCTGGATAATAATCCTGTAGAACATTTCCAGGATGCCGCATGGAGAGAGGAGTGGCTGCTGAGGCCCCTCCCTCTGCAGGCTGCGGCTCCCAGCAGGTGGCGCATCCCTTCACCTGCTGGAACCAGGTTGATGCTGCAGTTCATCCATGTGTCTGGCAGAGCTTCCCCCAGATGACCCGCGCCCAGTCATGGGGGGCACAGGTCCTCCACCTGGAGGGGGACACCAGCATCCAGCACATATGTGGGAAATACGCATTGGGGGGGTTGTTAGATGGGGCCATTAAAATGCTGGGGTGGCTACTGAAACTAAAAGCCATCATTTCTCAGCAGGCAAACTGATCCAGGACTCCAATAACCAGAAGGCGGCCATCAGACGTATCCATATAATGTGAACAACGCCTTTAGCCCCGCCCCCTCACAGGGGGAGGGAAGCACCAGCAGCAAACCACCGTTAAACCTAACATAGGGCTGGGCGATATAGAAAAAAAGCTTATCGATAAAAAAAAATGCATATTGATCGATATCGATAATCATTGAAAAGATTTGAAACCATATTTTATGTGCAGCTCTGCCTGGACTTTTTATGATATTGCTAAATGATTAATTTTAATAAAAAACACAAACACAGACTTCCAGTTAAATATTTATTTAACCAACTTTTTTAACCATAACAATTGTTTTAAAGAAAAATAACTTAAGAGACCTGAGTTATGTTATTAAATACTGACAAAGAATAAACTAAAGTGACCAAAATAAATAACAAATAAATAAATAGAATAAATTATTTGGAACAATTTCCTCCGACTCTCCTTGCTGCACATCTTCATGTGCTCTGTGTTGTGGTTTGAGAGGGCGGCGCTTGGTGACGCCATGCCTGGGTCTGCGATTGTAATTGGTTGGGAGGAAGCAGTGACTAGCATAAACCTACATGCTAGGCTACAATGAGAAGGAAGGAAAACTGCGTTTCTTTATCGAACTTTTATCGACTCTCTTTGTTTCTATTGCGCCACACGTCTATCGATCGATATATATCGTTATTGAATTATCGCCCAGCCCTAAGCTAACAGGTCCGCCACCGGAGACAGCCGCATCGGCTACTACAAACAAGCAGACCCATCAACCACAGCCTTAGAGCAGAAACGCTGGAAACACTCAACTAGTGCTTTTCTCTACCAATGAGCTCCGAGTCACAGACTTATGGGAAGCATCAACCTACGAGTCACGGCCAGGTGAAGGTGAGTAGGTCAGAGAGACTGAACGTAGCCGTCCACATGAGGCACGCCCAGGTGGCTACGGGTCATGTGGGTGACTGTGTTAGCAGCGTGGAGTGCGAGGAGACGTTTCCAATTTGTTTACTGGAAGGAAGGAAACGGAACTAAATATCGTCGTCCTGACAACAAAATCACCATGAAATCAAAGTTTAGTTATAACACAGATAAACTCTAACAGAATCACCGCCTGCTCCGACTGCACGGACGTTACACACCTGCACTCTATTATCCACCAGCGCAGTAAAACTTACCTGCTGCCCTCTAGTGTCCTTTAGGGGAACTAACCTCTATGGCTCATAAACAGACGGAGGACAGAAAGAAGCAGCAGGACATTTTCCTTCCTTCTGTGGTTTGTCCAGTCGGTACCCACCACATGTCCAGGCAGGTGGAGTAGTCTGTGGATCCCAGCAGGACGTCTGGAGGCCGGTACCACAGGGTCACCACCTCGTTGGAGTAGGTGTGGCTGGGGACGGACTTGGCCCTGGCGAGGCCTGGGAGGAGACAGGGAGGACAAAGACAACAGCTGATGGTCAAACACAGACTTGCTGTCAGCACATTCACCATCACCATGTGTTTTTGAAGTGTTCTCTCAGCGGGCAGTTATCTTTCTCCTGTACTCGCTGGATGTTTTCTGTTTTTAGTCAGTGTCCAGAACAGGAGAGACGAATCACCATGACAACAGAGGTAAGTTGAGACAGAGTCCTGAAGCTCACACAGCAGCAGTAAAGGCCCTGTCTGCTGATTTCTCCAGCGTCTGCCTGACGTCCCAGAATCTAATAAACTCTGCCAGACGCTGAACTTTCTATGGATTCTTTCTATTCTGGGCGTAAACAAAGAGGATTAATAACGAGTCCAGAACTTCTGTCCAACTACAGCCTAACTGCTGCATAACCACGGCAGCGTAATGCCCAGGAAAGGATACACAGTTGCCTGAGGGGGGCAGCGATGAGCCCGGTCTGCAGAAACAGGTCTTTGATCGCAGCATTAACCTAACTGCTGTTTACTGCCCGCAAAAACAGGAATAAACAAACATAAAAAGAAAGAAAGAAAGAAGGTTATCAGTGGCAGCAGATTCAGTGTCATTTAACTCTTATATTTTAATGGAAATTGTTGTGAATTTATTCCAAATCTGTTTGGAATGATCTGATCGAGTCACACTTTCATCTGTTGTTCTGACACACAGCCAGTAGGGGGCGTGTGTTCATAGACAATACATGGCAGTCTGAATAAGATAACATGGAACCTGGTCCCATTAGCAGGTCTCTACCGAGTCTTGTCTAGTCCGATTCCTGCGTGACCGAGTAGAACACCTGAACGCCCTATAAGGAGGACCTGAAGGCCTCGACCTCAGAGGTTCCAGTAAAGCTTTGGAAGAAGCAAACATCCGTATGAAAACGATGGAACCAGCATCCTATGAGACGGCCACTTCTGGTCCTCTCATTAAGCTACCTCAACATGGAGGTACCTGACGGTACCTGACGGTACCTGAAGGTACCTGAAGGTACCTGAAGGTAACTGACGGTACCTGATGGTACATGATGGTACATAATGGTACCTGATGGTACCTGGTGGTACATGGCGGTACCTGATGGTACCTGACGGTACCTGGTGGTACCTGATGGTTCCTGATGGTACATGATGGTACATAATGGTACCTGATGGTACCTGGTGGCACATGATGGTACCTGATAGTACCTGATGGTACATGGCGGTACCTGATGGTACATGATGGCACATGATGGTACCTGATGGTACCTGATGGTTCCTGATGGTACATGATGGTACATAATGGTACCTGATGGTACCTGGTGGCACATGATGGTACCTGATAGTACCTGATGGTACATGGTGGTACCTGATGGTACCTGATGGTACCTGATGGCACATGATGGTACCTGATGGTACATGATGGCACATGATGGTACCTGATAGTACCTGATGGTACATGACGGTACCTGATGGTACCTGATGGTACCTGATGGTACATGATGGTACCTGATGGTACATGATGGTACCTGATGGTACCTGATGGTACATGATGGTACCTGATGGCACATGATGGTACCTGATAGTACCTGATGGTACATGGCGGTACCTGATGGTACCTGATGGTACCTCATAGTACATGATGGTACCTGATGGTACATAATGGTACCTAATGGTACCTGGTGGTACATGATGGTACCTGATGGTACATGGCGGTACCTGATGGTACCTGATGGTACATGATGGTACATGATGGTACCTGATGGTACATGATGGTACATAATGGTACCTAATGGTACCTGGTGGTACATGATGGTACCTGATGGTACATGATTGTACCTGATGGTACATGGCGGTACCTGATGGTACCTGATGGTACATGGCGGTACTTGATGGTACATGGCGGTACCTGATGGTACCTGACGGTACCTGAAGGTACCTGACGGTACCTGATGGTTCCTGATGGTACATGATGGTACATAATGGTACCTGATGGTACCTGGTGGTACATGGCGGTACCTGATGGTACCTGAGGGTACCTGGTGGTACCTGATGGTTCCTGATGGTACATGATGGTACATAATCGTACCTGATGGTACCTGGTGGCACATGATGGTACCTGATGGTACCTGATGGTACCTGGTGGTACCTGATGGTACCTGATGGTACCTGATGGCACATGATGGTACCTGATGGTACATGATGGTACCTGATGGTACCTGATGGTACCTGGTGGTACCTGATGGTACCTGATGGTACCTGATGGTACCTGATGGTACATGGTGGTACCTGATGGTACCTGATGGTACCTGATGGTACCTGATGGTACCTGATGGTACCTGATGGTACCTGATGGCACCTGATGGTACCTGATGGTACCTGATGGTACCTGATGGTACCTGATGGCACCTGATGGCACCTGATGGTACCTGATGGTACCTGATGGTACCTGATGGCACCTGATGGTACCTGATGGTACCTGATGGTACCTGATGGCACCTGATGGTACCTGATGGTACCTGATGGTACCTGATGGTACCTGATGGTACCTGATGGTACCTGATGGCACATGATGGTACCTGATGGTACATGATGGCACATGATGGTACCTGATAGTACCTGATGGTACATGGCGGTACCTGATGGTACATGGCGGTACCTGATGGTACGTGATGGCACATGATGGTACCTGATAGTACCTGATGGTACATGGCGGTACCTGATGGTACCTGATGGTACATGATGGTACCTGATGGTACATAATGGTACCTAATGGTACCTGGTGGTACATGATGGTACCTGATGGTACATGGCAGTACCTGATGGTACATGATGGTACCTGATGGTACCTGATGGTACATGATGGTACATGATGGTACATGATGGTACCTGATGGTACATGATGGCACATGATGGTACCTGATAGTACCTGATGGTACATGACGGTACCTGATGGTACCTGATGGTACATGATGGTACCTGATGGTACCTGATGGCACATGATGGTACCTGATAGTACCTGATGGTACATGGCGGTACCTGATGGTACCTCATGGTACATGATGTTACCTGATGGTACATAATGGTACCTAATGGTACCTGGTGGTACATGATGGTACCTGATGGTACATGGCGGTACCTGATGGTACCTGATGGTACATGATGGTACATGATGGTACCTGATGGTACATGATGGTACATAATGGTACCTGATGGTACCTGGTGGTACATGATGGTACCTGATGGTACATGATGGTACCTGATGGTACATGGCGGTACCTGATGGCACATGATTGTACCTGATGGTACATGGCGGTACCTGATGGTACCTGATGGTACATGGCGGTACCTGATGGTACATGGCGGTACCTGATGGTACCTGACGGTACCTGACGGTACCTGAAGGTACCTGACGGTACCTGATGGTTCCTGATGGTACCTGACGGTACCTGAAGGTACCTGACGGTACCTGATGGTACATGATGGTACATAATGGTACCTGATGGTACCTGGTGGTACATGGTGGTACCTGATGGTACCTGACGGTACCTGGTGGTACCTGATGGTTCCTGATGGTTCCTGATGGTACATGATGGTACATAATGGTACCTGATGGTACCTGGTGGCACATGATGGTACCTGATAGTACCTGATGGTACATGGTGGTACCTGATGGTACCTGATGGTACCTGATGGCACATGATGGTACCTGATGGCACATGATGGTACCTGATGGTACATGATGGCACATGATGGTACCTGATGGTACATGATGGCACATGATGGTACCTGATAGTACCTGATGGTACATGGCGGTACCTGATGGTACCTGATGGTACATGGCGGTACCTGATGGTACCTGATGGCACATGATGGTACCTGATAGTACCTGATGGTACATGGCGGTACCTGATGGTACCTGATGGTACATGATGGTACATGATGGTACCTGATGGTACATGATGGCACATGATGGTACCTGATAGTACCTGATGGTACATGACGGTACCTGATGGTACCTGATGGTACCTGATGGTACATGATGGTACCTGATGGTACCTGATGGTACATGATGGTACATGATGGTACCTGATGGTACCTGATGGCACATGATGGTACCTGATAGTACCTGATGGTACATGGCGGTACCTGATGGTACCTGATGGTACCTCATGGTACATGATGGTACCTGATGGTACATAATGGTACCTAATGGTACCTGGTGGTACATGATGGTACCTGATGGTACATGGCGGTACCTGATGGTACCTGATGGTACATGATGGTACATGATGGTACCTGATGGTACATGATGGTACATAATGGTACCTAATGGTACCTGGTGGTACATGATGGTACCTGATGGTACATGATGGTACCTGATGGTACATGGCGGTACCTGATGGCACATGATTGTACCTGATGGTACATGGCGGTACCTGATGGTACCTGATGGTACATGGCGGTACCTGATGGTACATGGCGATACCTGATGGTACCTGACGGTACCTGAAGGTACCTGACGGTACCTGATGGTTCCTGATGGTACATGATGGTACATAATGGTACCTGATGGTACCTGGTGGTACATGGCGGTACCTGATGGTACCTGAGGGTACCTGGTGGTACCTGATGGTTCCTGATGGTACATGATGGTACATAATCGTACCTGATGGTACCTGGTGGCACATGATGGTACCTGATAGTACCTGATGGTACATGGTGGTACCTGATGGTACCTGATGGTACCTGATGGTACCTGATGGTACCTGATGGTACCTGATGGCACATGATGGTACCTGATGGTACATGATGGCACATGATGGTACCTGATAGTACCTGATGGTACATGGCGGTACCTGATGGTACATGGCGGTACCTGATGGCACATGATGGTACCTGATAGTACCTGATGGTACATGGCGGTACCTGATGGTACCTGATGGTACATGATGGTACCTGATGGTACATAATGGTACCTAATGGTACCTGGTGGTACATGATG